TATTGGGTTTTCTGGGGATTGAGGGCAATTTGGTCATTTTCCTTAACTTAATAAGGACCTTAAATGTCAATTTAAAAAGGTTGAGGATAAAAATATCCCAAAATAAAAATTAAGGATGGAAGTGCAAAAGATGGTAAACATTCGGGATGGTTATTTAAAATCACCCTATTATCCAGAGCAATTTTTGGTTGTGTCGTAAATTTCCACAGCTTAAACCCTACTCAAAGACCAAATCCGAGACATAGGAAAAAGCCACCTTGAGATTTTAACTCAGCACAGTGTCAATTCAAGCCCTTAATGGTGGTCTTCTAAGGTGAATTGCTTAATTTTGTTATTATTGTCAAAAGGGGCCGAACAATTGACAGAATTTCTGAAAAACTTGCCATTTCATTGTTGTTGATTGTGTGTGTATTTTGTACAATCATTGAATATACAAGGAAAGTGAATAAATATGATTCCTAAACATCAGCTTACTTCCCAAACATAAATTTAACTATATATGGTAACATTCTCCATTAAATTGATGCGGAGAGATCAACCAGTAGCAATTTGCCAACAAGGAATCGATGCCATAGTCGAATCATTGCTTTGGTGAAAATATCGGCCACCTGAAGATTAGATGAAATGTCGGGAAGGGATATCAACTGATCCGTCAAAGTGTCAGGAATACAGTGACAATCAACCTCAATATGTTTGGTACGTTCATGAAAGATGGGAATGCATACAATCTGAATAGCACTAGTGTTATTCGCATGGAAAGGAGTATGATGAATTTGAGAAAACCCAGGGGAGTCGAGAGCGTCGACCTTTTATCTAATAAATGCATCACTTCCAGAAGTCGGGGTTTGTTGCAATTATTAGCTCTAGAATTACTATAGTTATCCGAGGAACTCAACAAAATGACCCAGTAACTTCCGGAGAAGGGGTGCTCTCCTATCTTTTGATTAGGAAAGCGGCACATACTAGGGGACGACTGTTTATTAAAAACACAGGACTCTGCTAAGTGGTAACACGATGTATAGAGTCTGACACCTAATCATGTAACCAAATAATCTCGAGAACAAACTGAAGACATGGCATGATACTCAGCATCAGTAGATAATTTAGAAACATGATCTTGTTTCTTACATTTCTAAGAGATTAATGCATCACCCAAAAACATACGTCAACTCGTAGTAGAACGATGCATATTAGGACATTCAACCCAATCAGCATTACTGTAGGCCAAGAGCTGAAGAGAGGCCTCTTTAGGAAAGAACAACCAATGAGTAGATGATCCACGAAGATAGCGAACAACCATAAAATGAAGATGCCGAGGTGAAGATATAAACTGGCTGATCTGATGGATGGCATATGAGATATCTGGGCAAGTGGTGATCAAATAGATAAGACTCTCAACTAGACGACGATATAGAGTAAGGTTTTCTAGAAGATCCCAATAATCTTTCATGTACTTTACATTGACTTCCATAAGGGTAACTACAGAAGAAGAGTCCTCCAACCCAGCCAACGTAATAAGATCTTGAACATATTTATGCTGGTTTAAGAAAATACCTTGATCTCGATGACAAACTTCTAGGCCCAAGAAGTACGTAAGTTGACCGAGATCTTTCATATGAAAAGTGGCATGCAATAATTGTTGAAGCTTAGAAATGAAACTACTGTCCGTGCCACTAATGATGATGTCATCCATGTAAACCAAAAGAAGTACAATACCGAAGGCAAATTTGTGGAAAAAGAGATAAGAATCATATTGACTCTGTGTAAAACTAAAGGTAATGAGTGTGATATGAAACTTCTCAAACCAAGTTCAACGAGCTTGTTTGAGCTCATACAGAGAACGTCGAGTCTACAGACATCACGAGGAGAATAAGTAGTCATACCAGAGGGAAGCTTCATATAAATTACTTCGTGAAGATCGCCATGAAGAAACGCATTCTTCACATCCAACTGGTGGAGTTCCCAAGATTGGAAGGCAGCAATAGTCAAGACTGTCTTGACTATGGTCATTTTGGCGACAGGAGCAAAAGTCTCCTCATCAACCCCATATTCATGTCTGCTACCCATGGCTACAAAACGAGCTTTGAACAGATCTAAAGAACCGTCAAAATGAAGTTTCACAGAAAAAACCCATTTTACTCCTAATAGGTGTCATTGTAGGAGGACAATGAGCAACGTCTCAAGTGTGATTCTCCTCAAGTACCTGAAGTTATGCTTTCATTGCATTTTGCCAACACTCTGTTCCATGGCCTATTTATATGAAGAAGGAATGAAAATAGCTGATAAAGTAGCTACAAGAGAGACGGGAGACGAGAAATCATAGCGAGCAGGTTGTCGAGAAGGACGTATAGACTGAAGAAGACAGATGGGAACTATAGTATGATCAGGTGCCGGGACAAGATCGGGAGGGGGCACAGAAAGAGCGGTAACAGACTCACGATTACGACATTTATATACAAGTCCCGATTTAACCACATTAGTAGGGAAATCAGAGAAGTTAGGTAGGACAGATAAAGATGTAGATGGTAGCTCAACATGAGATGGAAAAAAATATTGGTTTTCAAGGAAAACCACATTCCTAGATATACTGATGCGTTGAGGATGAGGATCATAACAAACATAGCCCTTTTGAGAGAAAAAATAATCAAGAGAAGCACATTTAACAAATTGAGCAGTAAGTTTATGTCATTCATTAGCAGGAAGATGTACAAAACAAACACAACCAAATGTACGTAGATCGGAGTATGATAGTGAATGTCCATATAGCCTAAATAATGGAGAATCATGATCCAAAGTGAGGGAGGGTAAATGATTAATTAAATGAACTGAAGTAGAAAATGCTTCACACTAGAATCGAAAAGGTATAGACGAATCAAGTAACAAAGTTCTCACCATATCTAGAAGGTGATGATTATTTCTCTCAACTTTGAGATGATATCCTCATTTTGGAAAAAGCCCTGAAACACATTGAGCATATATTTTCCTCAGAATTAGATCGCAAGATCTTTATACCGCTAGAAAATTGAGTATCCATAAAAGCAAGGAAACGTTTAAAAACAAAAAAGACATTAGCTTGACCTTTAAAAAATAAACTCAAGTAAAACGACTGAAATCATCAATGAATGTAACAGAAACTTATAACGTGCGTGAGAAATAATAAGTGAAGTTTCCCAAACATCACTATGAATAATATCGAAACATTGTGAGGCACGAGACCCATGGAAGGGAAAAGGTAAAACTTTACTTTTGCCAATTTTGCATGCAGTACAATCGAAAGAAAAATCAGAAGAACATGCTTCATTACCCAATAAATTAGAATGAAATAAAGTACGAAATATATCTGAGTTTGGGTGGCCTAAATATTTATGCCACAGTTTAGTATCGGTACTAATAGCATTACATGCAAAGGAAAGTAAAGGAGAACTAACGGAAGGAGAAATATGCAGGGGAAAGAGTCGTCCTACTTTAGGGCCCATCGTGATCATCTTCCCGGACATTGGATCGTGCACAACAAAACCAGAGCGAGAGAAACGAACATAATAATTATTGTCAACTAATTGACCGATCGAAATTAGATTTGTAGAGAGATTAGAAGACACAAAAAAATTAGTTAAAGAATAGGAAATATCACCAATAGCACTGATAGGCAGAGAATTGCCATTGGCGATGTGAATTTTTAGATTGTCATCATATTCTCTTACATTGGAAAGAGAACTAAAAGTATTGATTATGTGGTCAGAGGCTCCAGAGTCAAAGAACCATGGCTTGGAAGATGTTGTATTACCTGAGAGTTTGAAAGTGGAGAAAGCAGAATTGATCATTTTTTATACCATTTCAGGGGTGAGGGTGGATGCAGAAGCGGGATGAGGAACAACGTGTGAGACAATAGGAAATGTTGCAAAGCTAGAGGCACTAGTGGGAGCATGATATGCAGCGGTATGCTTTTTTCAGGTCGAATGGGACAAACAAAGATGTGATGACTTGGTTTCTTGCAGTAATGATAGTGTTTCTTAAGACAATCACAAGCAATGTGACCAAAACCTGTACAGTTATGGCACTGGACTGTACGTATGTCTCGACCCTTATTTTTCCCTTGTGCTGCATAAGCCACAGTAACAGGACTACTAACAGTATTCCTATGTTCCATGGTAGATTGGGTAGCTATACGTTGCTCCTCACGAAGAAATTCACCCAGACAAGTATCCAGAGATGGTACAGGATGACGATTCATTAGATTAGATCGTGTAGCCTCAAAATTGGGACGTAGTTTCATTAGGAATTGATCTCTCTTGCTTGTCTCATGCACTGTTTGAATAGCAGACAGAGCTGCAACGGGAACATTAGCATAAACAATATCGGAATATTCAGCCCAAAGATTTTGAAAACCTCAAAAATATTCTTCAATCAATAGATTTTCCCATGTAAAATTAGTCATCTCATACTCCAATTAAAAACGTCTAGCAGTGTTATCCTGCTTGTAAACCTTACTAAGATAAGCCCACATATCAACGACAATTTTGTAAGACCTCGGATTGAGAATGAGGTGAGGCTCAACTGAGCTAAGGATTCAGGTCATGACCTCGAGCATCCTTGATTTCTCACTTCTACAAAGCCTCTACGTCTTTCGGAGCGGGATTACTTCCAATAAAATGACCCCATAGCTTTTTTTCTTTGACAAGTAATTGAAATTTAAACTCCCAAATCGAGTAATTTTTCCCATTAAAACGAATCAGTAATGAATCTAACTTGTCCGATGACATGATGAAATAAAATATTCAACCTAATAAAGAGACCTACACCACTAACCGCAAAGCCCGTCTATGGAACAAAAAAAAGATAGTGAAAATTACACTTAACCATGTCTTTGAAGATCCAATTTCAAAAATAAAGTTTAAAGTTTCTTTATGCAAAAATTAGATGATAAATATACATTTTAATTGATTAATAATATTATAAAATTAAATTAATTTATATACCCTAATTCACCTCACCCAATTCAACCCCACGCACTCGTTCCATCTACAATCGTCTCGCTTTGCCCTCTCTCACAAATTGACCACCGAGACATCACTTTTAGACTGCTCCAAAAAATCGACCACCGAGACCTCAGTAATCACACAATCGTTGAAGACCATCACCACCGGAGGTCGTCTTTGCCGTAGTACCAACGGTGAAGCATCTATTGACTGTAAATTGTGCAAACAGTGGCCAGATCACTGAAAGCATTGCAGATCATGGTTGTAGTGGCTTAGACCGCGATGGTGATAGCATAGATCATCACTTCAGCGGCCCGGATTGCGTTGGTGTTTTTTTTTCTCAATTGTTGGATGTGTTAGTGGTTTTTATGTTATGGTAGTTTGACGGTGATGGTGGGGTGAGGCGGTGGTATTATTTGTGGTGAGGAAGGTCCGAGCGAAGAAAAACCGGTAGCAGGGAAGAACGCGAGAAGAGAATCACAGCCGGTAAGAATTCAGAACCCTTGCTCTGATATCACGTCAAAAGTGGCTGAACAATTGGGAGAATTTCTGAAAAACTTGCCATTTCATTATTGCCTATTGTGTGTATATATTGTACAATCATTGAATATACAAGCGAATAAATATGATTCCTAAACATCAGCTTACATAAATTTAACTATATGCGGTAACAATTATACCACAGAATGGACGTGTTAGTGAAATTATCTGGGGTTCTATTATTCCTTTTTAAGGGTTCAGTATTTAAATAAGAGAGGGGCTTTTATTTTTGATTGAATTTTAAAACTGATCGAGAAATATTAATTTGATGATGCATATCTGTTCTGATAGCAGGCTTCTCAAGTATGGTGTGGTGCAGTAACTGCGCAAAGAATATAAGCCGTCCGGATTATGTGGAGGGCAAAATGTAAGTCTCTCCAAGTTTTACTATTTTTATGCTTGCGTGTAAAACTTTATATTCATTGTGCTTGTATGAGCATGTTTTGCTGTGCTTCTTCTACAAAAGGAGGAGTTTTTCTGAGAAGCCACAAAAGAAGCGTTTTGATCTTTTGTTTGCTTTTGTTGGATATTGGTTAAATAAATTGAGAATTGAAAATCGATTAAAGATCGTATCGAATTCGGCCAAATACTCAAAAGCTCGACTCAATCCGTTTAGGCAAAATTGTTTGCCACTTCGCCGCTTCGGGGCGCACAAACGGGGATCGACCTGCCCGGTCAGGTCGCGAGGGTAGAGGGGGCAGCGCCCCTCGTGGGGGGTCGGGGGCAACGCCCCCGAAAGAGAATTTTGATTTCTCTGCATGTATTGAAGGGTATATTTGGCATTTCGAAAACCAATATCGGATGAATGAGAAATTACGAAAAAGACCTCAACCATTAGTGAATAGACACCTTTTCATAAATATGCATTGTTTGGAAATGGTGCATGGTTTGGTCTCAACCATTTCGTCCACACCCCTTCATGGTCTATAAATAGGACCCTTTGGGTGTCCTATTCCACACAGTTTGATATGCAAAACGTTTCTCATCCTCTCTTCTATCCAAAATAAAAATCATTTCGTTTATTTTGATTTTCTTTCATTTCATCCTTGGAGTACATAAGCCTAAATTGGTTCGTTGTACTTGTGTTTTGGAGTGCTACAAACACAAGTGTAGCCGTTGTATCTTGGGAGTCGATTGCCGAAATCCGTAGGCACCGTTGCGGGGCAAATTCGACTTAAGGACAAAGAGTCCAACTCTTGCCTCGGCTTTGTCACCATCATTATACTTATTTCAGCGTCACTATTTACAAAATTCATCCAACAGCTTTTAAGCTAAATCAAACCAAATGTGTGATCCTTTCTTGAACGACCCCTAATGGAGAACAAAAACAAAAAGCCTTTCACCTTCAATCATATTATAATAATAATAATAATAATGCCGCCGCCGCCGCTGCCGCCGAATCAGATTCATGGCACCCTTCTTCGTGATAATGATTTCCAAAAAATTGAATGGAAAATAGATTGATTTCAGTATCAACCGAAATTGTTGATTCTTAACTTTCATAAGTGAATTTGGTAAAGAATCAAGATTGAAACATGCTTTTTTATATTGTGCTATATCTTGAATTTCATGCCCCGTGGTTAATGAGATCCTTTAGGCTGTATATTCAGTGATAGAGGACTGTGTGCAATTAAGCCTCTGTTTGGATACAAGTTTATAAATTGAATCAAGCTCAATCATTAGTTTCAATGACACATTTATAACTATTACTCATAATTATCTATAAAATTTGTGGGACCCACTAGTATTTCTCTTTATAAATCATTTATAAATTTGACAAATGGAGGCTAAAAAAGTTATGAACTATGGAGTTAGCCTAATTTTCATTTATTTATTTATTTATTATTATTATTATTATTAATTTTTTTTTTTTTTTTTTGGGTGATCCAGATGTTGTTCACTTTGCGGGAGAGTTCTTGATGAGGACAACTTCTCAAATGAACCCACATTTGTTAAAAATGCAGGGGGACAGGTTAGTGGTTTGGAATGTTCTTGGCATTGATGACTAGGTTTTGCGTTTTGTGGGTAGTGCAGTGATTAGCTTATGGTCAGAAACATGAATTCTATTCAGTGTGATTACTTATTAAAAGTGGTTCTGTTCTTTCTTGAGATTAGTTAAGAAATACTCTGAAGCCTGATTTAAATACTATGAGAGCAACGATAGTCAGAAGCCTTCTTGGCGTAGAGAAATCTGCATATTTTTGCAGTTCGTTTACTTTATTATTTTTGGTTCTGTGATTGTTGTGGGACATTAGGTGATGTATTCTTCAAGCTATGCATCTCCTTCACTTTCTAACTTTTTATCATTTTAGGTCACAAACATGTATCGTAAATTTATTTTTGTTCTTGGTTGACACGTTAAATGAATAAATGTTAATCCAGAAGCAGCTAGAGATGCCCTTTGATTTGAGCAATAATGTTTATTTAACTCATAATGGAGTTATACTTACACTGTACTGCGCATCTCTATGCTACAATGACTAATTGAAATTAATTTTAGAGCCAATTGTCAGGAAATTATGTGAAGACCATCCAAAGTGATTATTCACTTTCTCGTGAAAGGATTCTGAACGAAGGTAGGTGAATTCTCCACTTACAGGAAACAATCTTTCATCTTATTATCGCCTTGTTACAATTTTCCAAACATCATTTATAGCATAACGTTATTTTTGTCTAAAAGGGCATTTGGTTTACTTGCTGATTATCTAGGCAGCTTTATACCACCAAAGCCTTCTACAGCACATTTGATATAAATTTGAACTACTATTGACTTTGACTTTTCCAAGCTCAAATTTGAATGCACATAAGCTATTATTTTAAGTGATGATGACAAAAACTGGAGTGACACTTTCACCAATCATATCTTCAAAAATAATTTAAGAATGTTCGAGATTAATTTTAAGGCATTATGTATGTGGGGTGAACTTTGGATATTATGATACACGGTAATAGAATTTTTGATCCTTTATAGTCCCAGATAAATTTAGCATTACTGATTCATCCAATGTAGAACTGTTACTTATGTATTGGAGCAGTGAAAAAAAAATTTAATGAAATAAATGGTAAATGACTAGTAATCCTTGTAAGATAAATCACCAGTAAGCCCTCTGCTATTTGATTAGGAGCATGCTTGACTGCAACATCATGATGATCTAAAATTATCTTACATAATAATTACTGAGTATGAAAAGCTAAAACATGAACACGTGTTCAATAATGAAAAGCTAAAACACGAACACGTGTTCAATACATACTTTCATTATATCAATGGCTGTTAGATTTGGTCCATATGTTTTTGTATTTATGTTAGTTTCCTTCGTATTTTCAGCATATAATGGTATAGAAAGTTTGATATATGCCCTGGGAATAGATGGTGGTGATTCTATAGCTCGGCCAGCTTTGGCCTTCTATAAGGTATGGCTTTTTGCATATTGAAATTTGTTTTTTGAATTTTCTATCGATCAAAACTGTATTCTGTAAATTAATGTTGCTTTTGCAGATTGCAGTTGAACGCAATTTCACAAGGGGGCGAAGAAAAGAGCAAGTGGAGGCTTCTTGTCTTTACATCGCATGTAGGTGAGGAATATGTTACCAAAGTTTGGTTCTCTGTATGTTTATAACCATTCGTCTATACATGACTGTTTTCAGTTATATGGTATTTCATTTTGTGGAATCTTAGTGGAAAAGGGCACTAAATGCCTGGGGTTTTAGCTACAGTGTTGAATTTTATAACTGGTCTTTTCTCTTTTCGATAACTATATTTTTTAAAACTTGTCTCATTTTAGCTAAGTATTTGGGTTGGTCAGTAATGAGTTTAACAATATATTCAAGGGGAACCAGAAAAATGGATGCCTCGAGAAAGCAATTGTTCAGTGATAAATGTTCCTAATTAAAGTTTTTAATTATTTTATTGTCAATAGGTCATAACTCATATGGGTTCCTTTAGCTTATGAATGAACCATTCTGTGGGACACTTTGACTAGACTAAACTATTTTACACATTTCAAGCTACGCTTTTAAATGGATTAACGTTATTGGCTTTCTCAAGGATATGCTGCTTGATATGTTTTGACAAGAATATTACCTTGCTGCTTTTGTCCTGTGACTTGTGGCATTCATCACTATCTGCATCGACAACTTTGATTTTTGTCAAGTTACCAAGATATGTATGTAATTATGTTTGATATTTGAGAGTAATAATCACAAACAATAGCTGACAATATAATTGCTGGTTCACCCTTTAGTGCTAATAAAAATTTTCTTTTGCAATCTATATTTATGCACTTATCTCCTGTGAATTATATCGTTATGTATTGTGACAAAGGAAAGTGTAATTGAAATGCCATTTAATTTAAATGTACTGGCATATATTTGATCTACAGAGATTATATTACTGCCAAGCTAAATTCTATTTATTTTTTCTTTCTTTTGCAGGGAGAATAAAAAGCCATACCTTCTTATTGATTTTTCAGAACATCTGAGGATAAATGTGTACGTGAGATTTCAATTTGAACAATCATAGTATTTGGACTGTAAGCTGTAAAAATATTGGTGCTTTAATTTTTTATCAGGTTTTTAACAAGTTAATTGCATGGGTTATAAATATGTTTTAAGTGATATTTACTCTCTCTCTTGGATTTTGGCAAAGTGAAATGAGACCTGCATGTAAAGCTAGTAGGTTTTCTTCAGTAGGGCTTATGTCTATTACATTCTTCAGTAGGAATTATGTCTATTGCTCTATACATGTATGGTGGGCCAGGCATGTGCATTTGCATTCTACAACATCCACATTTCTTCTTAAAACACCTGAATGAAAGCGAAGATATGTACACTCGCAGCTTGTTATACATAAAACACTATTTAAGTCAAGAAGAAGGACAAAGAAAACTTGGACAAATAATTTAGATGATGTTAATTATACAATGTTTACTTTCTCAGAGAGGAAACTGCGATGAAGCGCAAATAGTCTTGAGCCAGCTGATCGTTGTACCACCCATAGTGTGGATAATGGGGACACAGTTAGTCACCCAACTTATAGTGTTGTTCACTTTGGTCATCAAACATTTTTTTGTTTCCAATTAGTCACTCAACTTTTATTTTAATTTAGGCACTCTGTCTACTTCAGTTTGCTATGGCGGAGGCAGTAGTGGTGTGGGTAGGGCGGCTGCTGGGATTGGGGCAAAATGTCAATTTCTTTTTCTCTTATTTATTGGGTACTTTGGAAAAGAGCATTTTTAAAGCAAATAGTAGTCTGACAAGGTGTGTTGTTGTCCGGCTGGATGGAAAAAGAAAACAATGTACTGACTATTTTCTATTCTATTAATTTAGCATATGGAAGTACATGAAGTGTCTACATTGAAACAAAATGAGAGTTGAGTGACCGGAAAAATAAAAAGTTTGATGACCGAAGTGCACGGTTTAAGTTGTGTTACTATCAATGTTTAAACCTGCGGATAATATGTGAAGGATGACAATGAACACAATTGCTAGAAATTTTTGGGTAGATTTAAAGTGAAAATAATAAATTGAAACCGAATTTAAGGAATTTAAGGGAATCGAAGGAATCTAAGGAAATAAAGTTTCACAGATGATTGAAACTGATATACCTTTTAGGTAGGTCTGATTGCATCTAGGCCATAGCATTGAGCGGTGATTGAAGTATACCAAATTTTTGAAATGCTGTCAAATATAGCAAGTTTCATGGCACTGTGAAAATTTATTATGTTTATCTTTTTTGTATCGGTCACAGTTATGTGCTAGGTGCAGTATTTTTGCAGCTTTGCAAACTTTTAAGCCTTGAAGAGCATCCGGTTGTTCAAAAACCTGTGGATCCTAGCCTTTTCATTCATAGGTTTACTGATCGTAAGCAAATGTTCTTATCATTTTCATTGTATTAGCTTATGAACTCTTTTGTCTTAATTATTTGTTTAATTCTTTTGATTCTTGGTTAAATTGAATTGACATGTGTAATAACAGTTGATCCATAATCAAGTCTGGTACACCATCAAAGATGAATATATAACTTAAAAATACTCACTATACAATGCAAAAAATGTCAAAGACTGTCAGTTGAGTTGAATTTCAAGATGTGTTGAATTTGTTGATCTAAAAGCTTCAATTGTTAGGTAAGTTCAAGTCTATATCATTTAAATGTTATCTTCAAAATGCCCCATCACGTGTAGGGGGTTCGTATTTTTCCATCAAAGACATTAAATGGGTGGTTGTGAGATTTGAATCGAAGACCTTTGATTGTTTGATATCATGTAAAATCACTTGATCTAAAAGTTTAAGTTATTAGAGATGGCCACATGTATATCATTTAAATCTCGTCTTCAACATTCCCTTCACGTGTATGTGGTTTTTATTTCCCTACTAAAGCTCGACATGTGCACATATATAAAGAGCAAAGATGAGAATTGAACTTTGAATCTTTGCTTGCTCTACTCTCAATACCATGTTGAATCTCTTAATCTAAAAGTTTGGACTATTAGATAGGACCATGTATATTTCGTTTGAATATTGTATTTCAAAAAAATGGATTTCAGAAGTTACCATCCATCGCTTCCAAAGATTTTGGAATAATTTCAAAAGTGACCAGCTATCCGTCGCTTCCAAAGATTTTGGAATAATGATTTTTTGGAGAATGTTTGTTTAAAAAGTAGGAAAAAGCTTTAGGTTTACATGTAAACTTATTTTATTAAGAGACTGTGTGGTTGAAAATGAATTTGGAGAAAAATGTATTATTGAAAAATGGGGCTCAAACAAGGGCTAGATAATTAATATTTTAGAAAATTACCTTCTGTGGATGTCTGTTGATATCCAAAACTGATTGTCAAGAGTCGGACAAGTGGCGATGTTGAGGTGAATATGAAAAGTTTGGGTAGAGCTGGATCTAAGCATCGGCTACAGGATCTCAAAGGGCTTGTAAGCGCATAAAAACTCTTGAATGAACAATGAAAAAGAGGTGTAAGTCCACTTCTTTAGTAGAAATTAATCACGGCCAAACGTTTAATAAAGATTCTGTTTGGCTTGAACTGATAAAGGGTTGAATTTGAAATTAATCAAACATGTCCTTTTTGGCCAATTATGTCCTTAATCAGTTAAGCTCTTTGGATTTCTTCTCTTCTGGTCCTTCCATTCTTCTGTGATGCTTTCTTCTTTTCTTAAATATTATTAGTGGTCTGCATTATATTGCTTGTGAAATGAATATTCATTTATTTAAATGTCACAAGCCAATAAACATGATTGGAAATCCTCATCATAGGTCTATTTGGTGGAAGAAAACCAAACGTTTCAAGAACTGCACTTCACATTGTTGCCAGCATGAAACGAGACTGGATGCAGGTTTGATATCATGATTATATCTTAGTTGAGTATGCAATTAGTTCTTGTTGGTTATGATGTAAATGTTTCTTCGTCTATCACTAATCGGTAAATTGCTTGCAGACTGGGAGAAAACCAAGTGGGTTATGTGGAGCTGCACTATACATATCTGCTCTCTCACATGGTCTCAAGTGTTCAAAGTCAGACGTTGTAAGTGAAGTTTGACATAACTATATAAAAATAGACTGTTGATGCAGCAACCTGTCAATATCTTTTGCCTTTTTGAATTTTCTACACTTAATAAATTGTTTCGCAGTATGTACTTGGGGAGTAATCTAGTTATTGATTATGAGATTTATTTGTTAATGTTGGAACCTGAGAGTTGCTTGAAGTTGTTGGTGTCAGCAAAATGCTAGGTGGTATATAATTGCATTAGGTGCACTTTAGTTCCTTGTAAATTTCTTGAGTTACAGTTTGTATGTTGGTTTCATATTTGTCTATTAACACACTGACACAAGTCTTCCACCCTTTAGGCATTTTGTATATTTTTTATTCTTCCCAATTATGGTCTTGAAAGGTAGCAAATTTTCTACAATTTAAACAAACTAAGAGTGGGAGTGTTTGGGCAGCAACCAAGTCTCAAAACCATAGTTTAAAAATCCAGATCAAACTGGTCAGTTCGTACTTAAAACTTGTGAATTAGCCTATAGACTGGTTCAGTTGGTGTCTATAGACCGGTTTACCAAAGAACCCGTCAAAATTGAGTTGAGCCGTGTGAACCGGGCTGGTTCTTAGAACCACACTAAAAATCAATTTTTGGGTAAAATTTAGAGTTCCAAAGCCTAGTGTCAGGAATTGAACCTTCGAAATAACTAAAATCATATGTACGTACATAAAAATGATTTATTTGGAAATATCTTTCCTATTGGATTATTATAGTCAAGCATAGCTATTTATAAACTTAATTTATATTTAAAAAAGTCAATTATATGATTTAAAGATTTTAAGGAGTACATTCTTAAATTATGGCATGCCTTAATTTTTGAATGTAGAGTTACTAATTATATTATTTTAAATATATATTTTTTTAGGTTGCGTCTAGTAGTGACCTGTAGATTGAATCACTGACGATGAACCATGCTATGTCCAGGCCGGATAACTATGCTCTAAACAGTTGCACAGGAGATACATTTTTTTAATACGGGAAGTCAAAATTGAAAATATTTCATTATTAATAAGCTGTGGAAGGTCCCAAATGAAAATCAAAGGCCTTAATGGAGTGTCAAACAAAGTCTAAGTTGATGCCAAAGCACTAGTTATGCATGTATACATTGTTGACCGACCTTCCTTGGCAATTATACATAGCTTTCACACTTAGATTCATAATATTTATTGGTATTTTGTTGTAGAACTTCTGTCATTTTTACTTATTCTTACGTTGTTTTATTGATGGCAATTGTCAAATTTTTGTCAGATTAAGGTTGTGCATATTTGTGAAGCAACATTAACCAAGCGGTTGATTGAATTTGAGAATACGGAGTCAGGAGGTTTGACGGTATGTCTTCTTCAGAAGAAGTAGAATCCACAATTCCAGCATATATAACGCGTATGATTACAGAAATTGAAATTGGGTGGAATTAAGTATTTCAACCAGAGTCACTAGTTGATGTTATAGACACTGTCTTAACTACTGGCTATATTCAAACTTTTCTCCTAGATGTGTAGTTACTATCGCTCTGTTTGCAGCTGTGTAGGTATACTTTGCAAAATTTGAAGCCCATTAACATGCACAATTGAGTGATTCCGCCCCTCATGGTTGGATTCATTTGTATTCGTAAACACGTTATTTAATACCTTTGTGTTTCACACTATTATTCTGGCGTTTGATGAAAAATTACTTATATATCATCCTTGTCGGTCTTTAGTTTTATTGGTCATGGAGACATTTATCAAATACTGTGATATCTGGTAAGTTTATAATTAAATGTTAACATGAACTAGATCGAGGAGTTCAACTTGAAAGCTGAGGAGCTTCAAAAAGAAGGGCTTATGAAAGCACCGTGTAGTGGGTCAAACACATCAGAGACCACTGAATTGCTCTGTGAACATAAAGGCACTGGGAAACCTCCATTTGCTCATGGTCTTTGTGAAAGTTGCTACAATGAGGTAACACCTGATTCCCTCGCCTCATATTTCTCAAACAATATGGGGGATAACAGTGATTGTACATGTTGTTGCAGTTCATAAAACTTTCTGGAGGCCTTGATGGTGGATCAGAGCCTCCAGCTTTCCAACGTGCAGAGAGGAAAAGAATTATGGCAATGGAAGCTGCTGCTGATAACACTGAGAATCCAAGTTGCCTCACATCGCCTAGCCCAGCAGAAAACAAGAGTAAATGTTTAAATGTACTCTCTCTCTCTCTCTCTCACACACACACATCTGGAAGTTCTCTCTGCCCCCACCGTAATCTAGCTCTATCTAGGCAAATTCTCAGTAGTGGACCCGTGCAGAGAGGAAAAGAATTATGGCAATGGAAGCTGCTGCTGATAACACTGAGAATCCAAGTTGCCTCACATCGCCTAGCCCAGCAGAAAACAAGAGTAAATGTTTAAATGTACTCTCTCTCTCTCTCTCTCACACACACACATCTGGAAGTTCTCTCTGCCCCCACCGTAATCTAGCTCTATCTAGGCAAATTCTCAGTAGTGGACC